AGCTGGGCCTGACCCTGGACCTGACCCGGGCCTGACCCTCAGCTGGGCCTGACCCTGGACCTGACCCGGGCCTGACCCTCAGCTGGGCCTGACCCGGGCCTGACCCGGGCCTGACCTGGGCCTGACCCTCAGCTGGGCATGACCTGGGCCTGACCCGGGCCTGACCCTCAGCTGGGCCTGACTTTCCCCTGGCACAGTCTGAACTCTGCTGTCCTTCTGTCCGGGCTCAGCTGGCCCGGCCTTACCCCAGGCCTGGTTTACCCCAGGATGCTGAGGCAGACCCTAAACCCAGCTCAGCCCTAGGCCTGGCTTACCCCAGGATGCTGAGGCAGACCCTAAACCCAGCTCAGCCCCAGGCCCGGCTTACCCCAGGATGCTGAGGCAGACCCTAATCCCAGCTCAGCCCTAATCCCAGCTCAGCCCTAGGCCCGGCTTACCCCAGGATGCTGAGGCAGACCCTAATCCCGGTTCAGCCCTAGGCCCGGCTTACCCCAGGATGCTGAGGCAGACCCTAAACCCAGCTCAGCCCTAGGCCTGGCTTACCCCAGGATGCTGAGGCAGACCCTAATCCCAGCTCAGCCCTAAGCCCGGCTTACCCCAGGATGCTGAGGCAGACCTTGCCGTTGCGGTAGAAGTTGGGGTTGAAGCGCACGGTGTTGTTGCCCGTGGTCAGCAGCTTGACGCGGGGCGGGTGGATGGGGTAGTCCGGGGGGCAGCGGAACAGGAACAGGAAGAAGCCGCCCTCGTAGGGGGTGTCGAAGGGGCCCGTGATCAGCGCGTGGATCTGCGGGAACACCGGGATCCGGAGCCTGCGGCACTGCGGACCCCACGGGGACCCCGGACCCTGCGGGGATCCCGGACACTCCGGGGATCCCGGACACTCCAGGGATCCTGAACCCTGCGGGGATCCCGGACACTCCGGGGATCCCGGACCCTGCGGGGATCCCGGACACTCCGGGGATCCCGGACACTCCAGGGATCCTGAACCCTGTGGGGATCCTGAACCCTGCGGGGATCCCGGACCCTGTGGGGATCCTGAACCCTGCGGGGATCCTGAACCCTGTGGGGATCCTGAACCCTGTGAGGATCCTGAACCCTGTGGGGATCCCGAACCCCACGGGGACCCCGGACCCTGCGGGGATCCTGAACCCCGCGGGGATCCCGGACTCCGCGAGGATCCCAGACCCTGTGACATTCCCAAACCCTCCAGGACTCCCGAACCCTGCAGCATTCCCAAATCCTCCATGGCTCCAGCATTCCCAAATCCTCCAGCATTTCCAAGCTTGCTGGCATTCCCAAACCCTCCGGCATTCCCAAAGCCTCCATGGCTCCAGCATTCCCAAACCCTCCAGGACTCCCGAACCCTGCAGCATTCCCAAATCCTCCATGGCTCCAGAATTCCCAGACCCTCCGGCATTCCCAAAGCCTCCATGGCTCCAGCATTCCCAGACCCTCCGGCATTCCCAGACCCTCCGTGTCCCACGGCCCATCCCGCGGGCAGCCGGGGCCCGGCCGTTCCCTCTCCGGGACGATTCCAGGCGGGAAAGGTCCCGGATCCGGGTCCGGCCCTCACCTTGGTCATGTCCTGGGGGTCGGGCACCACGAACATTCCCGGCGGCGGCTCCTTGTAAATGGACATGATATCCCTGGGAAAGCAGCGGGATCAGCCGGGATCCCGGCCCGCCGGGGCCAGAACCGGGACCGGCACCGGGGATTGGAACTGGGATTGGAACGGGATTGGGAACTGGGAACCGGGATTGGATCCGGGGATTGGAACTGGGAACTGGGGTTGGAACCGGGGATTGGAACTGGGATTGGAACCAGGGATTGGAACTGGGATTGGAACCGGGATTGGGAACTGGGAACTGGGATTGGATCCGGGGATTGGAACTGGGAACTGGGGTTGGAACTGGGGTTGGAAGTGGGGTTTGGAACTGGGATTTGGAACGGGGACTGGAACCGGGATTTGGGAGGCTCGTGCCTGGCTCAGGGGAGCTCCCGGAGTGGAGCCCCAAAAGCAGCCCAGGAATTCCAGAGCACTCCTGGAATTCTTGGGAATCCTGGCAGGAATTCCCCCTGGAATCCTCAGGAATCTCCCCTGGAATTTCACCACCTCCAGCACCAGGAATTCCAATAAAAATGAAAATCCAGCGGAATTCCCGCTGTGAATTCCCAGGGGAATTCCACAGGGACCCCAGGCAGAAATTCCAGGATTCCCGGGCAGGGTTGGGAGGAACCCGGGATAGAGCAAAGTGTCCCTGCCAAGGTCCCCCCCAACCCAAACCTGTCCCGGGACACCGGGAGGGACCNGGCTTACCCCAGGATGCTGAGGCAGACCCTAAGCCCAGCTCAGCCCTAGGCCTGGCTTACCCCAGGATGCTGAGGCAGACCCTAGGCCCAGCTTACCCCAGGATGCTGAGGCACACCCTAAGCCCAGCTCAGCCCTAGGCCCGGTTCAGCCCTAGGCCTGGCTTACCCCAGGATGCTGAGGCAGACCCTAATCCCAGCTCAGCCCTAAGCCTGGCTTACCCCAGGATGCTGAGGCAGACCCTAAACCCAGCTCAGCCCTAAGCCTGGCTTACCCCAGGATGCTGAGGCAGACCCTAATCCCAGCTCAGCCCCAGGCCCGGCTTACCCCAGGATGCTGAGGCAGACCCTAATCCCAGCTCAGCCCTAAGCCCAGCTCAGCCCTAGGCCCGGCTTACCCCAGGATGCTGAGGCAGACCCTAATCCCAGCTCAGCCCTAGGCCCGGTTTACCCCAGGATGCTGAGGCAGACCCCAGGCCCGGCTTACCCCAGGATGCTGAGGCAGACCCCAGGCCCGGCTTACCCCAGGATGCTGAGGCAGACCCTAATCCCGGTTCAGCCCTAAGCCTGGCTTACCCCAGGATGCTGAGGCAGACCTTGCCGTTGCGGTAGAAGTTGGGGTTGAAGCGCACGGTGTTGTTGCCCGTGGTCAGCAGCTTGACGCGGGGCGGGTGGATGGGGTAGTCCGGGGGGCAGCGGAACAGGAACAGGAAGAAGCCGCCCTCGTAGGGGGTGTCGAAGGGGCCCGTGATCAGCGCGTGGATCTGCGGGAACACCGGGATCCGGAGCCTGCGGCACTGCGGACCCCACGGGGACCCCGGACCCTGCGGGGATCCCGGAC